CTACATGCATTTTCCCCTATGGCTAGTAGGTAAATTCGGGTAAAGATGAAGGTTAGGGTTAACTGTATCTGTAATTTAACGGTATCTTGGACTATTCGATTGTGTTTTCTCTCATTTTTCTTGTCGTATATATATTGTGACAAAGTTCACTAATGCTGCATCAATGCACAACTAGGTCAAAATCGCACTATTTTACTTACAATAATTTAAAACCAACTCCTTCCATTTCAAAGCGTGACCCATTTAAAGGCAGCTTTTCTCTAGACAATTCGCTAAAAGTAGTAATCCAGTTCATTTAAATGGAGTTAACTCTGCACGTTGGTCAAGTCCTTAGATTTACACCCCTGGATATTTTCCTTTTCTTCCGGATAAGGCTAAACTACTGTATTTTGAGCATAATCTTATGTAAAGTGCAACTAAAATGGGTTTTTGTATAAACTTTCCCGACATACCACAAGATATTCCACATCGATGCTTATAATAGAGAAACATTCAGTTTCAAATGAAATCCGTATTTAGAGGTCATTTCTTACTTTCAAGCATTGTTTCCCTATCTACTTTACTTTTCGTCACGAATGCTTAGCTAATAATAAAGCGTCACATCTCTGACAGTTCAATCAATATCTCTTTCATGGACTAAAATTTACACACTTTAAATCCCTACTATGAGCTAAATGATATTTGTAGGTGGCTATTCATGCCACTACAGATTTTTTATGATTATTTTTTGTGTGCTTTTTATCTCCTACGACTTCTATCCGGGTCTGTATATCAAAACAAGCATATTTTTGTTTAAAATGGTTTTTTTATCCTACCATAGATTTAGAAAAATTTCCATCACTCTCACCTTATTATTTTATTAAATCCATTGATTCTCTCATTAACATCCATCCTATTTGCTGGTGTTTTATTTGTTTCAGTATCTCGCCGTGTGATTCGACTACAGGGTCTTCTGGTTTGGGTTCCACTATGAGCAGCAGCGAAGTACACACCCTCTATCCTGCCACCGGCAGGTTGTGCTTGATAAATCCAATGGCACTTAACATGTCCGCCGGTGCCAATACCAGCATCAGAAAGAGTGTAAACCAGGCTATCACCATGTCTGATTCATCCTGCACGACAGTCCTCTCACCACCACCCCAACCATCGCTATCACCATTGCCGCTTGAAATACTGCCAGAACCACCTTTGCAACCAGCACCTCAGATTCCGCTCACCGCTTCTGTGCCAGCAACTGTATCCTCGTCCCAGTCAGTCACTTCAATCAGATTGACTCGTCCTGCTGCCAACGAATCGGCCGGCTATAGAATCGCTAACACGACTATAGCAAGGCCGGCCAGACGCCCGTCGTCACCAGATGGCTACCGGGGTGACATTAAAAGCAGGGATTCTGCTGGGTCCTATTCTGTGACATCGTCGCCGCCTTCGTCCGTAGCAGCCTCTCCACCGACTAGTTATTCCTCAGCCGTCACGGATGACGCAGGTGATGAAGAGTATGATGTGGAAGCTGAAGAAGAGGGATATATTGGTAGTTCTCCACAAGACCAGTGTGCCGGTGGGGAGGATCTAGGTCAGACTAAGCCAAGAGAATTTGTGCTTGGAGAAACG